GCCAATTTGAAAATGACGGAGATCACCGCGCGCTGGCAGGACGACTCTCCGTGACCATCTCCATCATAGCGTTTTCGTTTGCTCAAGAGGTTCATGCAGCGTCTCGGAAAGACTAAAGATGTACCTAGTGCCATGCCGAGCACGAACTTCAGGCAAATCGCAACCATGGCTTCGAAGATCTTTTTGTAACTGAGTACTAATGACGTCCAGACTCAGGCTGGCAGCAGATACCCAAACGAAAACGCCTTCCACTGACACCAACCGCTGACCTCAGTCTTGAGGTTCTCCGGACGCCGTCTTCCTAGGACGTGTATTCGAGATCCCATGCACCGGCCGCCACGTCTGCACTCATGCAGATCATCAATACACGGTTTACAACGGCAGCAAGAAGTCGGCGGGCATGCTAGCTAACCTGCATTCGCTCGACTCTCTCGAGGAGGGTTATTGGGTGAGCATGTTCGTAATCCCTCCACGGGCGATCTCTAGAGCTGATTGAGCAGTTACCTTCTTGGCGACTTGTGTACTGTATGTGGTCCGTGATTTGACAGGTCATCGGAGTTGCGCGTGGACACTGACAGAACATGTCGATCATGCACGGGCGTGACCACCAGCGCACATACAGTACGGCTCTCGGACGCGTTGTCTGTTTCCTCGACATGTTCAAGAGCAGAGCGAGCGAGACTAGCATAAGCTGGACGTGATACCTCTCAGCGTTTTTGGATCGACGAGGCAGCCCAAAGCATGGCTACGCCGCAGGAGGCTAACTCATAGAGCCACTGGGTTGCTTGTCAGCCTGTCGAGAGAAATAGAGAAATGAGCGGCGATTCATGTCGAGTCTACAGGACTCTCGGAGAATAAGCTAGAATCTGATCTTCGTCCTTCAATATGTAAGGCGAGACCTGTGCACTCATCTGTGCTTGTAGAGTTCAACGTTTGGTTCGAACGAGCAGCAGCACGGTGCAGTATTTTGTCTAGATGATTCGTTTCGATAGATCATAGCGTCGCCACATTACCCCTACGAACACTCTGATTACTAGATTCCGATTGAACGTAAAGTGAGAAGGTCGGTTGTGTAAAAAGATAATAGATGGGCCGCTTACAACATAGATACGATAACTTAGCAGAAATCACGAGAACTTCCCCAAATTCCTCCCGTCCCTCACATGCACGTACCTCCCCACACCTAAATGCCACATCACCCTCGGGACAAGCAACGCCACGCCCAGCACGACGGTCGCCCACAACGTCCCGGACCCCTCCCACTTGCTCACATCCCACCGATCTTCGCCCAACGCCCAGAGGGTGATGGCGATGTGGAAGACGTCGCCGAAGACGAGCGGCGTGAGGAGCGCGGAGACGACTTTCTCTTGCAGCGCGGGTTGGGAGTGTAGGTGCCGCCGTGCGGTCCAGAGGACGAAGAAGTTGATGGCGCCGAGGAGGGCGACGGTGTGCGAGAGTTGGAGGAGGGTGACGAGTGTGGCGAGTGGGAGGGGTGTGTCTGGTGGGAGGCCGTTTGGCCAGGGGGCTTGTTGGTCGTGGACCTGGAGTTGGAGGAGCAGGATAATCGTTAATACTACTCGAATCGTTGGGTGAGAAGCTGTATCTCACGCACCTCTTTGGGTTGTAGAATCGCTCCAAGACACCCTCCAACGGTGAGCAAAGGCTCGAACCATCCAAAGATGAGCCAATACGGCATCGGAATAGCGGATGTGCGCGGCATAGTCGCAAGATCGAGAACGGAGACGGGAGGCAGTAGTTTGTGTGTACGGAACGAAATCAAGAAGTGTTCAACGAGGAGGTGAACATATATGTGTGGGCGACAGGAGGAAGGTTCCGTTCAGGTCATCATGACTGACTCTTGAGGTCAAGGAAGAGAAGGAAGGGGAGAAGGGGGGCCCAGCGACGGTGTCTGTGTAAGTATGCCGTAGGAGGGTCGTACCGCGCTCGGCACAGCACACGGAAATGATTGAAACAATCTTATCGGCGGTGAATGTGCGGCACCGAAGCGACGTTTCAGGGCGGTCTAGATCGCAACAGTCTTCCGAAGGAGGGTGGTTGAGAGAGACTCGAAAGTTGAGAGGGAGGTGCTCGCACAGAAGAAGAGGAGGCCGACCACCCTGGAATGCTGGTGCGCTGCTGTTCTGGGAAGGTTGGCAGCGGAAGCTTTTGTGGGGTCTCGCTCTTGCTGTTTGGGTGCGTCACGGCCTTTTGCAGCTGTTTGGTCGGGAGTTGACAGTCGTGTTCTGGTTTGAAGAATGTTGTCAGTTACGAGAAATGCTCCCAAACACCTACTGGTCTCGCGACGGTGGGTAGGAGGCTTTGCAGCCAAAAACCTGGACTGTGATCGAGCGACCATCTTGCGTCATGGGCCTGCGAGCGCCCACAAGAGCAGCACTTACAGACGGTCCATCCACGACGACCACAGTCTGAGAGTTCGCGTCTTCACCTCCTCACCTTTCACCGCACATCCTATTCCAGTACAAGAACCAGAACCAACCATGGTGACGACCGCATCTTACGGAACCTGGAAGTCTCCAATCACGGCAGATTCTATCATCGAGAACGTGAGTACAGTCCATCTCCTGATCGCCGCAAACGCCTCACCGTAAGAATCTGAACAGTCTGCCAGCATCGACGATGTGATTGTGGATCCTGTCACCTCTGCGATCTACCACATCGAGAGCCGACCGAACGAAGGGGGTCGTAATGTGTTGATCAAGACCGAAGGCAACACCGATTTGTTCGGAGAAGGGTGGAATTGCCGTACGGGCGTGGAGGAGGTGAGCAGTCTGCTTTTGAGATGTGCGGGGATTGTAGCTGAGGTTTCTCTAGTACGGTGGCGGCGCTGCGACAGCACACAACGGTGTCATCTACTTCTCAAACTTCAAAGATGGAAGAGTGTATGCATTGAAAGAGGGAGGCCAGCCCGAGGCGATCACTCCAGGTAATGCATCTTCCTCGTACGCGGAGACTGAGCCTATCCTTCTAACGCCAAACCTCACCTAGAGAACAGTGCACAACGCTTCGCCGATTTCGCGATCCACCCCACCCAGAACCACATCATCGTAGCAGTGCTCGAAGACCACACCCAACCCGAACCTGCAAACGTGGTTACCTCCCTCTGCTTCATCAACACCCACACGAAGACTGTCCACCCCCTCGTTTCCGGTGTCGACTTCTACGCCGCACCAGCATTCTCCCCCGATGGTAACCACCTCGTGTGGCAGCAATGGAAGCACCCCGATATGCCTTGGGAGGGCGGGGAGATCCACGTCGGCCCCGTCACCTACAACGCGTCCAGCCAATCCATCTCTGTCACCAACTCCCACCACGTAGCAGGCAAGCACTCGGAAGCGAGCGCAGCATACCCATTCTGGATCAACAACGATACCTTCGTCTTCACCGTCGACGTCTCCGGCTTCCAAAACCCATGGACCTACACCCTCTCCACCAAGAAATCCGCACCGATCCTCCCCCAACCCCGCGACGAAGAGTTCAGTCTTCCCGGATGGCAGCTCGGCGCGTCCTACGGCGTCGTCGCGCACCCAGGAGACGACACCACCCACAGCACCGTCCTCTTCTCCGCGTTCAAGGACGGCCGAAGCCGGCTGTACCTGCTCACCCTGCACTCCGGCGCCATCGAGGAGCTCGCGTGCCCGTACGTCGCCATCGCGAACGTGCGGCGCGTCGCAGACGGGCACGTCGTCTTCGTGGGTGGGAAAGTGGACGAGGGCGCCACGTTGGTGCAGTGCAGTGTGAAGGACTACGCTGCGCCGCATTTTACGGTGTTGTCTGGGGCGACGAAGTCGAGCTTCTCGCCGGCGTTTTTCTCGAAGCCGCAGTCGATTACGCTGCATACGGATGAGAAGGAGCCGTTGTATGTGTTGTATTACCCGCCGACGAATCCGGAGTATGAGGCTCCGGAGGGAGAGCGGCCGCCTGCGATCGTGTCGGTGCATGGTGGGCCTACGTCGCATGAACGGCAGGGGCTGAAGATGACGGTGCAGTATTTCACGTCTCGGGGATGGGCTTGGTGAGTGCGTGTTTAGTGAGTTTATTCACCCGAGCTGACTTGAAGGGTATGTGAAGGATTGGCGTAGACTATGGAGGAAGCTCAGGTCATGGACGGAAATACATGTGAGTTGTTGATACTTCAAAGACATCGTCCGTACCGATTACCTATCATCTCAACAGCGAACGCCTGAAAGGCAACTGGGGCGTCGTCGACACCCGAGACTGCGTCCTCGCCGCCCAACAGCTCGCCTCCGCCTCACACGCCCTCATCGACCCCAAGCGCACCGCCATCCGCGGCGGCTCCTCCGGCGGGTACACCGTCCTGGAGACCCTCTGCCTGTACCCAGACGCGTTCGCGGCGGGGACGTCGCTGTACGGGATCTCGGACCTGGTGAAGCTCGCGGAGTTCACGCACAAGTTCGAGTCGCAGTACATGGCGAAGTTGCTTGGGGGGTTCGTGACGGATGAGAAGGTGCGGAAAGTGTATGTGGAGAGGTCGCCCGTGAATAACGCGGGGAGGATTCGGAGTCCGCTTTTGGTGCGTTTCTTCGCTTTGGTTTATTGGTTTTTTTTTCTCGTCTCGGTGCTGAGCGCGGTTCTGATGGCTGCAGATCGAGCAAGGGTCTCTGGACGCGGTCGTCCCTCCGGCGCAAGCAGAAGACATTGTGAAGTCGATCAAAGCGAATGGCGGGAGCGTTGAGTATGTCGTGTTTGAAGGGGAGGGCCACGGCTGGCGCAAAGCGGAGAACATCAAGGCTGCGCTAGAGAAGGAGCGGGAGTTCTACGAGCGGATTTTCAAGCTCAACGCGTGAGGTGTTGTCAAGTTGATTGAATGTAGTATATCTGTGTGTGTGTCAATTTTGGTTTAAGTAAACGAACTTGTGTGCAGGATAGACATTTCTTTTCTTCAGTATTGTAGGACACTTTGCGGTTGATGGTAGTGGCTACATGGAGGAAAAAAATCAATGCCTAGAGGATCGGGACACTGCTCGGAGTGAGGATCGAACTCACGACCTCAGGATTACTGCGTAAATCACAGTCATACAGAACGTATGAGACCTGCGCTCTAACCAACTGAGCCATCCAAGCATTGTCGGTCATTTCTCGTGGCCACACATGATTGGCCAGCTGCGAGTGTGGAGGGGATGACGTGGGGATGACTCACTGCGTTTTACCCCGTTCTGGTGGTACCAGGTCCAGATGGATTCAGATGACTGGGCACAGCTGACGACACGTCTGTGAGACCGATTGGCGCACGGTGTGCCCAGATCAGACCACATCAGCTCGACATTTCTGGATCACCTCGCTTTTAGTCGTCTGAGCACTGCGTCGCCCAGAAGACTATGTTCGGACAGACTCAATACATCAATTATAATCTGTGGCATAGGCAGTCTTCGTACCGCATACAGCGATCAACATCTGGGTTTCCTAAGGATAGCCTGTTTCGAGTCAAGGTCAAGTCAAGTCACCTCGAGCATGTTGCTCGTCGGAGACCTTCTTGTCGTTGGGCCAGGATTCCCCTGGGATGTGAGGGCACCCGGAAACTTTAATGTCGGCTTGACTTGATTGGAAAGTCAGATAGTATAGCGTACCGAAGCGGTACTGTATTCTTGACATTACCAGCCTGAGACTGACGCCTTTTCGTTATCGCCAGCTGTGTCTTACCGTACTGTTGCGATTCGCGAAAGCCACGACAAGGGCCATGGCACATTGCGCACTTGGGACCGAGCACGTCGTGCATGCTCAGACATCAAAAGAGTCAATAGTCTATTGTAGGGTAGTGATGGGAGGTCGTCTACAACGAGCTGAGATTGTCGTCGTCGAGACGAGCTGGCCAAACACTGTGCCCAGACGGTCCCAGACGATCTGATCTGATCTTGGTGCGGTGTCTCGAGACGGTATGCATTTTGGGTAGGGCAAGCCGTGCGTACTCTATCTTCCAAAGTCTGGACCTGGTCCCACCAGAACGGGCTAAAACGCAGTGACTGGGAGGGTGCCCACGACGCGTCCTCATAACACGAACAAGGCGGGGCACTTTCACGAGATGTGCAGCAGGCAGGGATTCGTCGGGCGGTGCGACGGACGGAAGTAATCGGGGTGCTTTTGTGAGCTGCGGGGAGGCGTTACAGGCGTATCTGCGCCAGCGAGGCCGCAGAGATAAGAGTCGGAGGAGGGTCACACGACATCCGGAACACGACCAGCCAGCCCGTGGTGTGAAGAGGACGCCTTGGGCAGGTGCATTGCACTGCTGCTGCTGTCAGTGTGAGCTTCTGGACTGGCAGCCACTGGTCGGACTGGCGATAAGTGGACAGCGGTGCAGTGGCAGGAGCACGCAGGAGACACGATCTGGGGTGGACAGAGCGGGTGACTCAGGACGTGATATGGGGAGGGCGCTTCCGGATCGGGCAGGTGCTGGCGCGGTGCTCGCGTGCGCTTGCGCGACTCTCTCCCAGTCCCAGTCCTATAAGAGGGGCCGCGCAGCCGTCCTCTCCCTCTTCACCCGCCTCCTCCTGCTCGTCGGAGGCCTCTCTTTCTTGACATTCCTCCCGCCCCCCGCCGTCTGTCAGTCACCATGCGTCGTTTACTCGTCGCTTCTCTCGTCGCCGCCGGCCTCGCTGGCGCGTTCGCTCACCCCGGGGCGGCCGATAGCACCCAGCTCCGTCGTCGCAAGACCCTCGGCTTCGGTCCTGTCCACGACCATGCCGTCTACAACACCGAGCCTCTGTACTCTATCCAGGGCTTCACGTCCACCCACACCGACCCTTTCGACGTGGCCACTGAATTCATCTCTAGCCTCAACTTGGACGCAGTCGGTGGCGCCAGCACCTTCCGTATCCGCCAGGACTCCTACACCGACAAGAACACCGGTATCACCCACGTCTACGCCCGCCAGTACATCAACGGCGTCGAGGTCGCTGACGGCGATATCAACGTCAACGTGAAGGACGGTGTCATCCTCTCTTACGGCGACTCGGTGAGTCTCGCGTGTAGCCATGGTGACGTGCCCGGAACAACGTAGCTGACGTAGTGTCGCGTAGTTCTACCGCGGCGATGACGTCTCTGGCTTTGGGTCGTCGACGCCTGTGGACCCACACTCCGAGTACTGCCAGGCTCTCACCGCCGAGCTCACTCGGCGCGCTGAGGCTCGGTCCAACCTCTACAACTCCGGGGAACAGGTCGTCCTTGGCAGCGAGCACGCTGTCTCCCAGGAAGACTTTGCCCCCGGTAACCTCCCTGAACTCCATGAATGGAACTGCGCCCACGTCGACACGCCTTTCAAGATGGCTGCCGGTGGCAAGTTCTCTGAGAACGACGATCAGATGTACTCGGAGCAAGCATTGTTGCAGTTCATGATCGCCGCCACTCCCGATAACACCCTCGCGCAGGCGATGGTGGAGAACCCGACGGAGTACCTTGAGAAGATGCGTGTCACGCCCGTGCACCATTTCGCTGGCGACCATGCCGCGCCCAGCCTTGTCATCGACGACGTCCCTGATGCCGTCGCACCTGTCAAGGCCAGGATGGCGTTCGTCCAAGTCCCTTCTGGTGACTCGGTCTCCCTTCAGCCTGTTTGGAAGGTGCGTTCTCCGTGTCATTGCCTCCGAGACGTGTTCGCTTACTGACTCTATCGCAGTTCGAAGTGGAGATGCAAGACAACTGGTACGAGGCTTCCGTGTCCATGATGCCTCCCCACCGCATCATCTCCGTCGTCGACTGGGCCTCCGACTCTCCCCTCCCCATGGCTCCCATCCCCAAAGAACCCTCCTCGAAGCCCGTCGCCACCTACAACGTCTTCAAATGGGGCGTGAACGACCCCACCGACGGCAACCGCACCCTCGAGAAGGAGAACTTCGACGCGCTCGCCAGCCCCGCCGGGTGGCACTCGCTTCCGTACGACAACGACCCCGCCTCCTCGCACTTGAACCTGAAGAAGGGAGGAGCGGTGAAGTTCAGGAACACGACGGACACGTGGGGGAACAACGTGTTCGCGCATGAGAACTGGGAGGGGCGCAATGCGTGGATCACGAATTACCGGCCGGACGCGGGGGAGAAGCTGGTGTTTGATTGGAAGTATGACCCGAAGGAGACGAATCGGACGGAGGCGATGGATGAGGCGAAGGCGTATATCAATGCGACTGTGACGCAGCTGTTCTATACGGGGAACATGATTCATGATCTGTACTACAGGTACGCTTGCTTGCTTGCTTGGCTTCGTTCTTGTGGGTGGGTGTTCGTAGGTGCTGATGATGGGGTTTAGGTATGGGTTCGATGAGGTGGCTGGGAACTTCCAGCAGCACAACTTCGGTCGTGGTGGTGAGGAAGACGACGCTGTCATCATGAACGCACAAGACGGCAGCGGCTTCAACAACGCCAACTTCATGACTCCCCCAGGTCAGTCTCTCCCTTCCCTCCCTTTCCTCCCACTCTCCCAACCGCATTCGCTAAACCACCCTACCCTACCCACACAGACGGCCAGAACGGCCGCTGCCGGATGTACCTCTGGAACACCGCGAACCCGTACCGCGACGGCGACCTCGAAGCGGGCATCGTCATCCACGAGTACTCCCACGGGCTCAGCACGCGTCTCACCGGGGGCCCTGCCAACTCGGGCTGCCTCGGATGGGGCGAGTCCGGGGGTATGGGTGAGGGGTGGGGCGATTTCTTGGCGACGACGATTCGGAGCACGAAGAATTACTCGGATTATGCGATGGGCGCGTGGGCTGCGAATAGGGATAATGGGATTAGGAATTTCCCGTATTCTTTGGTGCGTGCCGTGCTCGTGCTTTTCTTTGTGTTGTGGTTTTTGGTGGAGAGCTAACATCTTGTGTGTGTTGCAGAACGACACCATCAACCCCTCGACGTACAAGACCCTCGACAAGCCAGGTTACTGGGGCGTCCACGCCATCGGCGAAGTCTGGGCCGAGATCCTCTGGGTCGTCTCCCAGAACCTCATCGCGAAACACGGCTTCTCCGACTCGCTCTACCCTCCCCCGCCCTCCACCGACGGCACCATCCCCACCAACACTGACTCCGACTTCTACCGCCCCCAAGCATACGACGCAAGCGGGGCGAAGAAACCGCTAGTGCCGAAACACGGGAACGCGCTGAGCGTGCAGCTGGTGTTGAACGGGATGAAGCTCCAGCCGTGCCGGCCGTCGTTCTTCGACGCGCGGGATGCGATCCTCGCTGCGGATCAGGCGTTGACGGGCGGGGAGAACTTTTGTGAGCTGTGGGATGGGTTTGCGAAGAGGGGACTGGGCCCGAATGCGAGGGTGGAGGGGAGGACGCCGTGGGGGGGAGGAATTCGCACTGATGTAAGTGTCTTTTCCTCTTCTATTGCTCTCTCTCTCTCTCTTTTGCTATGTGTGGATGCTGACGAGATGTTGTGTTTGCGTTTTACAGGATTTCAAGACCCACGCGAAGTGCGACACCGCGCCGATCCCTGAGCCCGAACCTGAACCCACGCCCGAGCCCGGACCTGGGGACGGCGACGATGACGACGACGACGACGGTGGTGACGACGACGACTTCCCTTGGCCTTGGGTGCAGTGATCTACCTGCCACCGTACTATCTCGATTCAGACCCATTGCTAGCGGACTCTCTCTCTTCCTACACCACATCTACATTGCTAGAGAATATCTAGACTACACATCACATACACACATCCATCTCTACACACGACACAACGCTATCTGGGATTCATTGCTTAATTTCCTCTTGTACTTTTAGTTCTGATATATCATCTTGATTATATGTCACTGTTTGACGAGATGTGAGATGGGGTGAGGAGTGTGTTGACCTCGACGGTCGATGGAGTAACCAAGTGACGAAAGCAGGGAGGAGAGAGTGTCAGATGCGTCGCAGAGAGCGGCGCGCCTCTTCTAGTAACCTCTCCTCTCGCCCACGACCACGACCACAACTTTTTGCCTCGTCATTTCCTGCCTTGGCTCATCACGATCATTGCTCAATGATATTCCCTTCTTAGCTTCAATCATGGTATCGTTGGAATGGGAAAGCATGAGAGTACTCATTTCAATCGACACTTTTCTTGAGGGCCGAAGCGAGGCGTGGAGGGATGTACATGTAG